GGGGTGGCCTCCGTCCTTTTTGTGGTTGTGGAGCTTGTCAGCATCAGCGTACAAGCTCTCGCGCTGAAGCGCCTTTGCCTATGACCTCGGAGGGTCGGTGATGAGGCTCCTGGCATACGGGGAACTGTGGAGGGCTCCCTGGTAGAGGACGAGGAGGGTGCGCTCATCGGCCCCCTCGACCTCTTCGGTCTCCCTCGTCCACCGATCAATGAATGACTGGAGGGGTTCGTCATGTTGCTGCTTGACGGAGAGGAGATGGGTGAAATACTTCTTCGCACGCTTCCTCCCGGCAAAGTGGGTGAGGAAGCGCTGGGCAAGGTCCTGCCATGAGTCTACACTTCCTTCGGGAAGCGCGTTGAACCACTCGTACGTCGGCCCCTCAAGAGTGGAGAGGAACCAACGACAGAGATATTCATCCGACGTGTTCACCATCAGCATGTTGTTCTGATAGCGGCTGAAGTGCTCCCGGGGGTCTGATCGGCCGTCGTATGACTTGATGGCGTTTCCCCTATACTTCTCCGGGATGGGGGCCGAGAGCACCCTGTTAGTGAAAGGGGTCCTGGTCCTGACCTGGACGACGGGGTCGCCTCGCCCTTCGGCCAACTCCCTCTCAAGGGCGCTGACCTTGTTCATGAGAGCATTGAGGCCAGGATCGTTGGAGGCGCCGGCCGTGGGAATGTTTGCCGATTGCCTTGCCTCCATCTAGGCCAGCCTCCTTTCCAGCTGGGCGATGACCTCATCCCGAGGATCCCTGGCGGCTGCAGCGGCGCCCTGCTGGTTCTGCATGCGCCCCTCGTGGGCTGCGTTGATCTGGTGGCGCACGTCGTCCTCTTGCAACTTTCCCTTGCCCTTGCCCTTGTCCAGGCGGGGCTGGTCCGCTGTCCGGGACACAGACCCGAAGCTTTCCCTTGGCGAGCCAGGCCGACGCTCACCAATCCGTCCCGCCATCCTCTCCGAAACCGGACGATGGCGCGTGTCACCCAGCCTATTGAAGGCAGAGGCTTTTCCACGCGCTGGGGTCTGTCCAGGCCGAAGAGGGGAAGCGGGGTGGGAGTGGGACGACGCCGTGTCCTGGGCTATCACCCCCCTCATCGTTGCCTATCCTGCTGGCCAACGGTTGGGGCTGAGGAGGTGGAGTGACGTTCCCCCCAGTCCTTGGCAAGAGTGCGCTGAGGACGGTGGGGTTCTGAGCCAAGCTGGCGATGATGACCGACAACGCGGCCTGAACCTGTGGATCCACAGACGGGGAAGCCGCGGCCATAGGCTGGGCCGGGGCGTGGTCTGTCTTCTCTGCACGTTTCTTGTCCAGGCCGATGCGGGCATCAGGGCCGCCACCGTTGAGCTGGTTGCGTAGGTCCGTCGTGAGGTTGATGACCTCCTGGAAGACGTCCCCTCCTCCGACCTAGTCGGCTGTGGCATCCTCCTCGCGCTCCCTGGTCACCTGGTCCTCAGGGATGGCCTTGGTGACGAGGTTGCGATTTGACTTAGTTCTTCCCATGATCAGTGGTTAGCTGTGCTTGGTAGCGAGGAAGGGTGCTAACTTGATTGTTCTAGCTCTCAACGAGAGCACCAAATGATAGAGTATATATCTAGAGAGAAGTGACAGCTAGAGAGAGAAGTGCAAGTAAATGCTTCAATAGAATGATTTTGTCACCCCTACAACTACTCCCAGAGGTAGTATTTAGAGGGAAAATATGGGCTGGGCTCCCAAGTCTTGGGCTTCGGAGGCCCATTTTCAACTCGACCGCTATTGGACCGAATACAATGTGCGTAGAAATGATTAAGTGTAAAATCCTATTCTGGGGGGCGCTCGTGGCCGATGAGGGCACGGCCGACGAGGGCACGGCCGACGAGGACCCAGCCGACGAGGTCACCCGGTTCTCCTGGCTTCCGGACCGTATTCTGAGTTAGACTGCTTTCTGGCTGATGGAGGTCATCTGGCCGATGTGGGTCCCACCAGGTGATCGTGGTACCTTCTGTCCTTCCGAGTATGTGGGCCATGGGGTCCAGGCCCATATACTCCATCAATAGCGAAGGCCCAATAGGCCCAGGAAGCACGGCAGGCCTAGATCACAGCGCGGTCAGCGCCCCAAGTGCCAAATAGCCCACGACGAACACTGGGATGCCTTTGGGCCCCATGGCCGAAGCCTCATAAACTTACAGAACAACTACTTTTAAGCACTCAAAGTTACTGGGAGAAAACGGCGAAAACAGTAGCCCTCGGCACCTAGAGCCATCAGCACCTAAAGGCCCTCGGGATGAAGAGCCTTCAGCTAGTCATCTACAGTCGAAGGCATCTCCTCGACAGAATCTCCCACCCACATGCGCTGGATCAACGTACCAAGTACAAACGTCGAATCCAACTGCCGCATTTAATGCGGCCACATGCGAATGTCAGTGCCACCCCGTTGAGGTGACCCCTCGACCACCAGAATGATGACACGTGTCCCTATCTAGCATTTATTGCTGCTATAAATAGCACCCCTTTCCCCATTTGTAAACCACGCTCAATACGCTGAATACACTCGATATTAATATACACTCTCTCTGTACTTTTGCTATGACTTCTCTCTAAGTTACTCCCGCAGTAACCCCTCAGATAGATACACCCCGGGTACACTCATCCATCAATAAGATAACAATAACACAGGAATATAACCAAGATAAAAGAAAAATAAATAAAAGAGCATGAAAAAGCTAGAAGATAAAAATAACATAAGAATATAAAAAGATAAGGAAAATAAACGATAAAAGAAACAAGAGAGGAAAGGTAGACAAGACATCAATCGTCCACATGGATGTGCGCCCTCCACTTTGCTCTCTCCAAAGCCATACTCTCATCCAACCCTAGAATTGAAGACGCATATCAGTTCTGATACTCTAATCAAAGTCTGTTTGGGTCTTCCCCTCCCTCTCTTCTCTGACTCTTCTCCCCACCCCTCAAGTCGTCTAACAGGTGTATCACTCAGTCTTCTATGCACATGCCCAAACCACCGCAAATGAGACTCCTGCATCTTATCTTCTATAGGTGCTACTCCCACCTTTTGTCTGATTACCTCATTCCTCAGGCGGTCTTTTCTGGTATGTCCACACATCCAACGCAACATACGCATCTCTGTCACACTCATCTTTTGAATGTGGCATTGCTTCACACTCCAACACTCTACGCCATACATTAATGCCGGCCTAATTAAACACATTAATGTCGTACAAGGTGAAAATTCTAGGTTCGGAATTTTACCGTGTAACACAACCTATAATTAAAGTAATTAAAATTATAGAAAAATAAAACATCTTAGTAACAATTAAAATCAAAACTAATTGAATTAATTTTAAGCAAAGTATGTTTAATTGCACAAATGACTAAGATTAGTGAACATTAGTAAATAATTTTAAGCAAAATATTTACTTTTCTTGGTCAATAATGATGAACTTTGGACAATGATTTTAATTATTATATTTTTATATAATTTCTAAATTTTATACTTTTATGATAATATTTTGAATAAGGAACATTTTGATATAATTTTCATATTCAAATTAATTTCAAATTAAAAAATATCATTCGCCAAAGTTGATTGTCATTGTTGGTCCAAAATAGGACGCTCGTAGGCTTTTAGGAAAGCTACGTACGACACTCAAGCAAGAATTAGGAAAGTACGAATATGGAAAGTTAGCCAGAAATAGCATATCTGTATTTGAAATTCGAATTGCCTTTTATAGGCGATTACAAATGGTAACTGCCGAACATAATAATGACTAAATTAATTACAACATTAATACGGAATTAAACACATAATTAAGTCGCGCATTGATTGTTGGCCGTTACTCTTCCTGACTGGCTGGCAGGTCGACTTGGCTAGCAGGCTGAACGCTTGAGCTCCTCGGGTGGCAGGCTTCCCGTTGGGCCGGTAGGCAGGCTTTCTGCTGGGCTGGAAGGCAGGCTGCTGAGTGGGCCGGTAGGCAGGCTCCCTGCTAGGCTAGAGGCAGGCGCCTGGCCAGACTGTAAGGCAGGCCGGGCTGGACGGCAGGCTCCTGACTGGGCTGGTAGGCAGACTCCCTGCTGGGCTGGACGGTAGGCTGCTGACTGGGCTGGTAGACAGGCTCCCTGTTGGGCTGGACGGCAGGCCGCCCTGGGCTTTTACTCTTCGATGGGCCTGATCGGTTGGGCCGGAACGAGCTCTGGATCACTGGGCTTGGGCCTGTTGGTCCAAGTCCGGGGCTTGGGCCGATTAGGCTCTGGGCCTAGTCCCATAACCCCATCACGAGTCCCCCACTCCCTTAGTTGAGTAGTAGACTCGGCTAAGAGGGAGTATTTTAAGTCAGCTGCCGATTTAAAAATATTCACATATCAAGGAACCATAATTGCGGATTATGTGAATCCCGGAGTTTCTGGAAATTCCCAAATTAAATCAGACTCCCAAAAAAGGCTCCAAATAAATTCCTTCAGCATCCTAGCACTCCAGTCGTCAGTTTTCTTCCGGACTTCAAAATCCAGGTCAGCTCCCGAAAATTCCTTTCCCTTTCTTTTCTTTCCTTTCTTTTCTTTCCTTCTTTTTTCTTTCCTTTTTTCTTTTTTTCTTTCCTTTTCTTTTCTTTCCTTCTTTTTTCCTTCCTCTTCTTTCTCTTCTCTCTCCTGGTCTGCGTCCATCTTCCTCGCGTCGCCCCAGCGCCGCAGTCAACCGGCCGACTGGGTTGACCGCCGTTTCCCTCGTGGCAGCTCTTGGGTCGGCCTCTGCTGCGCCAAGCGGCTGTCTCGCGCCACCCGCCTGTCGCCGATGTCCCCACAGTCCAGTGAATTTGGCCGGTGGGTCTGGGCTCCTGTTGTGGCTGGCGCAAGCTTCAGGGATGAGCGGCCTCCCCGGAGGCTGGTGGCCAGGCGGGCCTGCGACCGGGCGCCCTCAGGCCGGGCGCTGCCAGCCGTCGTTGGCTAGGAAGCCGAGCGGCCAAGTGGTCCTCCGGGTTCAATTTGGGCGGCACCGTCCCAGGAGGCTAGCGGCCAGGCGGGCGGGCGACCAGGCGCTCTCAGGCCGGGCACTGTCTGCCGTCGTTGGCTAGGAAGCCGAGCGGCCAAGTGGTCCTCCAGGTCCAATTTGGGCGGCACCGTCTCCTTTTTTGCCGGTTGAGCTGTCAATTTGGTCGGACGCCGTGTGTGGTTCACCGATTCCACATGCCGGCCCCTGCCGCGCCCAATGCCTGCCCTGCGTCACTCGCCGCCTGCGACACCGCCCCTGCAGTCCGGCGGGTCTGGCCGATAGGTCTGGTCCCCCATGCTTGGCTGGCGCGGTTTCTAGAATCTGGCGGCCACCCTATTGTTCGTGCTAACGTGCGGGTGACCGGGTTCCAGGGGAATTGGACCTCCGAAGTTTGTCTCCCAAGATCTTCATCCCGCATCCCTTGGTGAAAATTCTTGGAAATTGAACTTATCTCACGTTTTTTTTTGCAGATCCGGTCTTCTCTTCCCAGTGTGAAAAATGCAAGGCGATGGACGCTCTGCTTATGAAAATAACGGTAATGTGGATTTGGGATTATCGGCTGGCATCTAAGTAGAGCGTGGGGCATCTGCGAGACCCATGCGGGTCAGCCACGGCCCTCGGCCCCGTATGCATGCAGGTGCTACTACTGGGCGGCAAGCTGATGCTCTCCCTGAGTTGGCTCCAGCTAGGCGGGTTGCTACTTCTGAGGGATGACCTCTCAATGTTCCAGATAGAGCATGCATCCAACCTGTGAACGTACCAGACTCAGATGATGATTCCGATACTCGGGCAGCCCTAAATTCCTGGTGGGACCTTGATAGCAGCGGAATACCGGGCCTCCCTTCTCGCGTCACGGAGGAGGACCTTATCATGGCATGCGGTTTGATTGGTAATAATTGTTTGTTGGAAACTCTGGCAGTTACTGACATATTGAGCAATCCACCAACCCCATACTTCGGGGTCCATATCCGCTCTCTAGAGTTAGGGATGGTTGTGCCACTGCATCCCTTCCTAATTCGGTTCCTTCACTTCCTGGGTGTGGCACCAGGTCAATTGGCTCCGGCAGCTCACATGTTCGTTGCAGCTTTCGTGGCGCGATGTGAGGGTGTGGGCCTCACACCCACGATTGATTTGTTTTTCAGCTGTTTCCAGTGGCGTGCTTCTAGCTTTTTCACCTCAGTCTCCCAGAGGTCAGTGAGCAAACTGTTTCGGTCGGGTTACCCCACTTCAGGCAAAGGGTGGAAGAAGAGATGGATCTGGGTGTCTGACCCCGATCTCCCATCACCTCCGTTTCAGTTGGGTGAGCGGGTTCGGAAGTGTGACCGGGTCGCTCTCTCCCCTGGTCTCAAGTCCTCCATCGAGATATTGTCCGCAGGCGGTCCCCACTCCATCAGCTCATATTTAGGTGATTGTCGTCTCCCTGGTCTATGTTTGCTACATTGTATTTTATTCTGCTTATCCTCACATTTTCCTTCCGCAGCTGTGCCTGAGAAGCTCGTTGTTGAGGCGGAATCCGATGAAGAGGAGGAGCCTCAACAAGTCATCGTTCTTGTGGCAGCAACGTCTGCAAAGGGGAAAGGGCACGGAGCCCCCCCTCCAAGAAGGGTGAGAGTTACCTTCGGGCCTCGGCCAACTACGCCAGTGCAGGAGAAGCACAAGGGCGGACTCGTCGACCTGCTAGTCAAATTGGATGAGTCCGATGAGGAGGAGGGGAGGAGCCCTGCCCCGCCGTTGCTGATGTGGCCCCTAAGACTGTTGCGGGGAAAGAGCGCGGAGCCTCCTCCCCGGGCCGAGGGGAACAAGTCTCGAAGAAGGCTAAGGTCGCCCCCAAGTTTCATTCCACTGAGCAGGTACACGAGGGTGCAGATGAGAGGATGATCGAACGGATCAGCCATGACACCCCGCATACAGTTACTTACGCATTCCCATCTTCGAGTGCCTCAATTATGCATGAAGGCTTCCCGGTCGTGGATTATGCTTCATCAATCCTCCCACTAGGCAACCTCACCTGTACGACTTCCCAAGAGTTTCATCCCCTCTTGGAGGGTTCCATCCGGTCACATATTGAGGTAGGTTGATCACATCTTGACGTGGATTGTGTTTATCCCTGAACCCCCTCACATTTTCATTTGTCTATTTTGCAGGGGCTCGCCAAGACCATCAGGGCACTCCACGCAGCCAATCATTCTCAGACCAGGCTTCAGCGCGAGGCTGACGAAGCTAGGGCTGCCCTGTGGGCCAGCCAGAAAGCCTTCTCCGAGCTGCAGTCCTCGCGTGCACAAGAATGTGAAGAAGCGGCCAAACAAGGAGCCAAGAAAACGCTCTCCGAGTTCTAGGCCTCCGAGCAGTTCCAGAATATCATCTCTGCGAGGGTGCAAGCGGAACAGTCTGAACTAGTGCAGAGGTGGCTGACGACCCCCGACGGAGAGTATTGGCGCGCTCGCGAAGTCCTCTATGCTTTTCAGAGTGGAAAGTATTTGATGCAGCAGAAGGTGTATGGCCGGTTGAAGGATCTCGACCTTGACTTTCATCCATCCACACTGGGCCTTCCTGGTCGCATGAAGAAACCCGTGGAGGCGATAGCCCTTCTTCCCCCAGAGGCCGTTCGTTAGGAGGAGGAGCTTGGTAGTTCGAACGAATGGGCCTGGTTCTTTCCGCCAGCTCCGGGGAACATGACTCCTGTGGCCCCCGGCCAGGACTTGGTTGGTGTGTTAGATGATGTTCCCGAGGTTGATGGCGATGGCTCTGTCCAGCCATGACCTTGTATTTTGTATTTCCCTTGTTTCCCACTTGAATACTTTGTGTTTCGAATGGATGTTTGATTTTTATTTCATACGCCTACTTTTCTATACTTTGCATTACGAATACTTAGCAATTTATTCTGGGATCTGGCTTCTCTAACCTCCCGGAGGCGGTTAGGCTGGCGTGGCCAAGCCTATCCGTGCCCCTCCTAGTTGGGTAGAAGTGATGTGTTCGCTATTGATATGGAATCAACAAGTAAGCGACTTGTTTGGCCAGCAAGGTCGGACATTGAACCGACGAGGAAGACCCTTAGGTCGGTATCCTGAACGTTCATGACCCGGGGGTCAGTCCAACTTTCACTTTAACCCATCCAGTTTGCACGGACTTGGGGAATAATCTGGTTACTCCTGCATGGATAGCCAAACAACAGGGGCGGACCCTGCATGATCCACGAGAACGAACCCGCACCGCCAACTCAGGGATGACGAGAGTGCGAGCTGCTTGGCCAGCGATGTTAGGCGGCGAGCACTCGAAAGGACCCGGAGGTCAGCATCCTGAGTACCCTCGACCTGGAGGCCGGCCCTACCGTCGCCTCGACTGTCGCGGCTAGCTCTTTACTTTAGAAAATTGCCCGGATTCTTGAAAATCGCTTGGCTATTTTCAGTTAAAGAGCCTGGCCGAGGTCGGCCAAACACCGAGGGGGGCATAGTACTTCTTTTTTTTTCCGCCGCCCTTTATTGCTAAGTGAGGTCGGACCTCTTTTGAAGACAAAATATCGCTACCAAAGTATATTGAATTCATGATGTGGGCGGACCACATGAAGAATTACAAATTGTAATCCCGTGCTCGGAGCACAGGAGTTTCCAAAGAAAAGTGAAACTTCGATTTTCTACTGGTAAAACTTCATCAGCTGCTCGGCATTCCAGACGCAGTCTACCAACCGTCCTGTTGTTGTCTTCAACTTGTATGTCCCAGGGCCGATCACTGCGTCAACCACGTAAGGGCCTTCCCACTTGACGGAGAGCTTACCTCCCTCTGTCGGCCTGCTGGCCTTCCTACGTATTAGGACATAATCACCGAGGTCAAAACTCCGGGGTCGGGCTCGGCTGTCTTGGTACGCCTTGACTTGTCATCGATAGTTTTCTGCTTTGATGAAGGCACGGTCTCTTCTTTCCTCAATGAGGTGGAGCTTGGCTCGGAGCCTCTCCTCATTGCTGGCTGGTTCAAACTCTTCCACTCGCCGGTTGGGAACTACGGCCTCGAACGGTGCCCTCGCCTCAAATACATAACACAAGGCAAAGGGGGTTTCTCCTGTTGCCTTCCTTGGGGTTGTTCTGAAGGTCCAGAGTATATTGTTCAACTCCTCCACCCAGGCAGTCTCGAGGGCCTCCAATTTCTTTTGCAATCCATCGACGATCGTCCGGTTGGTGTTCTCCACCTGTCCATTTGCCTGGGGGTAGCAGACCGCAACTCGGCTGGATTCTACGCCCCACTCTGCACAGAATTGCCGGAAGGCTTCGCAGACAAACTGCCTTCCGTTGTTGGAGATTATTTGGAGGGGAACCCCAAACCGGCAGAAAATATTCTTCCATATGAACTTCTTACATTAGAGATGTGTGATGCTGGCAAGCGGCTCGGCGTCAACCCAGTTCGTAAAGTAGTCCACTGCGACGATGACAAACTTCCGGTTTCCCGACCCGGTTAGTAAGGGACCGACCAGGTCGACACCCCATCTTGTGAATGGAAGGGCGGTGCTGATCGGTGTGTACATCGTTGCTGGTCAGATGGGGCTCTTCTGGAACTTCTGGCATGTCTCGCATTTCCTTGCATAGTCAGCGCAATCCTTCATTATTGTTGGCCAAAAGTACCCCTGGAGGACGACCTTCCTAGCTAACGTGCCTGCCCCCTGATGAGCGGAGCACACGCCCCCATAGAGCTCAGAGATGATCATGTCCGCCTCATATGGGCGTAAACACTTTAGCAAGGTCCCATTGTAGGACCTCTTGTACAGCTTCCCATCCAAGACGACGTAGCCCGGGGCTCGTCGCCGGACTAACCTTGCCTCATCTTCTTTATCGGGGAGCGTCCCGTCGGATATGTAGCGCAGGAGGTCATCCACCCAACACCAGGCGACTGGTTGCAGGGGAAGGACGTCAATGGACGGTGAGGCTGATATGCTTGAGGTCGTCATCTCCTCAATGCGTGCAATTCTCGATATGTGTTCAGGCAACCCTTGGGATAGCTTTGAGAGGATGTCTACATCGGAGTTTTGATTTCTCGGGATTCAGATCAACTCTGCCTGCTTGAACAACCCGAGCAACTCCCGAACAGCATCTCGGTACTTCATCATTCTTTCTTCCTTCGCTTCGAACTCACCTTTGACATGGGAAACCACCAGGCGGGAGTCACATTTCACCATTATCCACTCTGCTCCCATGGCGGCTGCCAGTCGTAGCCCAGACAGTAGGGCCTCGTACTCCACCTCATTGTTGGAGATTTTGAAAAGATAGCGGTAGGCATAGTAGGCTCGGAATCCCTAGGGTGAGATGGGACGATTCTGCCCCCGCATCCCTTGGCTCCTGCCGACACATCAGTCGCTAGAGTCCACCACTATTCATTTCTCTCTTGTTGCCTATCTGCTACCTCTCGGGCCGTGCATTCCACAATGAAATCAGCCACGACCTGGCTTTTGATGGACGTCCGAGGCTGGAAGTCAACCTCATATTGGTTGAGGAGCATCGACCACTTCACCACCCGGGTTGTGCCGGGCGCCCTCAGAGTGGCACCTAGGGGTTGGTCCGACAGGATTCTGATCGGGTGCGCTTGGAAGTAGTGTGTCAACTTCTTGGCGGTGATGTAGGCGACATATATTGTCTTCTCGAGCGGGGTGTACCGGAGCTCAGCATTCTGGAGGGTCTTGCTCACATAGTAGACGGGACGCTGAACGCCTTCCTCCTCGCGAACCAGCACGGAACTGATTGCGCCTTGGGAAACCCCAAGATAAAGGATTAACGTCTCCCCCCTCTCCGGCTTGCTGAGTAAAGGCTCAGAGAGGAGGTATTTCTTCAGGTCGTCGAAGGCTCACTGACACTCATCATTCCAGACGAAACCATTTTGTTTCTTTAGGACCTGGAAGAAGGGTAGGGACTTCTCGGCGGACTTGGACATGAAGCGTCCAAGGGCTGCTAGCCGGCCGGTGAGAATCTGGATTTCTTTCACCGACCTCGGGGGTTCCATGTCAAGTATTGCCCTTACCTTCTCAGGATTTGGCTCAATCCCCCTCCGTGTGACCATGTACCCCAGGAACTTGCCTCCTTGGACGACAAAGGTACATTTCTTCGGGTTCAGGCACAGACGGACTGCCTTCATGATCCTGAAGATCTCTGCCAAATCATCTGCATGATCGGACGCCCGGGTGCTCTTGACGATCATGTCGTCAACATACGCCTCCATGTTCCTTCCGAGCACCTTCCGGAATACCTTGGCCACCATCCTCGTGTACGTCGCCCCAGAATTCTTCAGCCCGAAGGCCATGACAAGATAACAAAAAATCCCCTCTGGGGTGACGAACGAGGTCTTCTCCGCATCGTCTTCATGCATGAAAATCTGATGGTACCCTCGAAAAGCGTCCATGAAGCTAAGGAGCTCACATCCAGCCGTCCCATCGACTAGTTGGTCGATGTTAGGCAATGGGAATGGATCCATCGGACATGCCTTGTTGAGATCAGTGTAATCAACACACATCCTCCAGGTTGGCGGCTTCGGGGCCAGGACCACGTTTGCCAGCCAGACCGGGTACAAGACCTCCCAGATATGCTTGATACTCAGGAGCATGTTGACCTCCTTCTTCACGAATTCCCTCCTCTCGGTTGAGAGGTGTCTTCTTTTCTGCTGGACGGGCTTCGCCGTTGGATTGACCGCCAGCCGATGGACAGCGATGCATCGGTCAAGACCAGGCATGTCCTCCGGTCCCCACGCGAAGACAACGCTAAAAAGGACAAGTACCTGGATAATCTTCTCCCTCAAGCCGGTCGGGAGCCCGATCCCGATCTTGACCTTCCGCTCTGGCCTCTCGGGGTCAATCTGGATCTCCTCCACTTCTGAGGTGGGTTCAGCGCGGAGCTGACCCTCCTCATACTTCGTGGCTTTGTTGTTGATAGTGTGGACCCTCAAGTCTTTTTGACCTATTTGTTTGCAAGCTTTCAGATAGCAGCTCCTCGCCATTCACTGATCTCCCCTGGCAACTTCGACGCCATTCGGAGTGGGAAACTTCATGCATAGGTGCTCCTGGGATATCACACATCTGAGGTCTTCCAGGGCCGGCCTTCCCATGATGATCTTATGCGCACAAGTTAGGCGTACGATAATAACCTCGACGTCTAACTTGGATACGCAGGGCTCGGAGCCCACCATCACGGGGAGGACTATGCTGCCCTCCGACTCAATGAAGTCCCCGGTGAAGCCCGAGAGTGGGGTTCTCACCGGGATCAAGTCTTTTCGGTCCAGCTCGAGACCCTGGAAGGTGTCATAGTACATGATGTTAACGGAGCTCCCATTGTCCACCAGGACTCGGTGGACGACCGTGTTGTTGATTTCGACCTTGATGACCAAGGCATCCCTGTGCGGCGGAGGCATCAGTGGCAAATCTGCGTCGGTGAAGAAGATGGGGTCCCTCTTCACCCTCTTGTCGGCGGGAGCCCTGGTTATCTCCCCGACGTATAGGGCTCGGGCCCACTGTTTCCGCTCTCCAGAGGTGTCGCCTCCCTGGGTCCCCCGAATATGAATGAACATCGATGGTACTTTCGGGGGCCGTTCCCTAGGTCGGCATCGTCTTCCTCGGAGAAGGCGCCGAGTTCTCGCTTCTTGGCAGGCGGTGTCTCCTTTGACGTGGTAGCTTGGTCGGACCGCTGCCACGTCAGGCTCCTCTTCTGCGGGATGCCTCCTTGTTTGCCAACGAATTGGCCCAGGTATCCTTTCTGGATGAGCTCTTCAATTTGCCGTCAGAGAATGACGCAATTATTTGTATCATGCCCAGCTCTCCGATGGAATCGACAATATTGGTCGTGGTTGCGCTTGGCAGTCACCACATCACACTCCTCCGGAAAGT